AGGGAGAGGGAGAAGCAGGCTCCCCGCTGAGCAGGAATCCTGGGATCATAACTTGAACCAAAGGCAGACGCTTAACCAACTGAGCCATCCGGGTTCCCCCCACCCCACAGTTGTTTCTTTACAAAGCTCTGCCTAAGTGTTTGTGGGCTCCTTTGATTGTTCAAGTGATTGTGGGGTGAGTGTCCACTTCTGCTGAAGAACTCTTTGTTTCGAGAAGAATGCACCTAGTTGCTCCTTTGATTGTTCAAGAGTCAGCATCCTCTTGTAATCCTGTGGTATTTATATCATTCTTTTCTTCGTGTCATCTTACCTTTTCTTACTCAGAGGTCTAGCTCTCCCAGAGTCTGGTTTGTCTATCATTGTGTTTTCTTGTGATTTGAGAATATGCTAATGTCTGTCTGATTGTATGCTGCATTTTTCACCAGAAGAGCCCTTTCACTTTGCAATTGATTGATTTCACTGTTTTCTTTAGGACTAACAGTGAGAAACTGACACATTTAACCATGACCCTATGGACTTCCCTCTACTAGAGAATGTTCAGCTAAGGAGGGCCTCCCCACTAGCTGAAATCATGAGTTTGTGCATCTCGCTGGTGGTAGGTCTAACACAGTTTAGGCCTTTTAAAAACATGGCAGTTTTATGTAACGTTAGAGTTTGCCTTCCTAAACTATGGTGCCAAGATTCTTAGCCACAAATACAATTGGAGTTTACATTTTGAGATCAAATTACCATATTGCTGTCTGCTGGGTAATACTCAGTCATACTTTTTGTCCTAAATAAAAGTAATTACTTCAGCAGTTTATAAGCTGTCCTATTTTCTTCTATCTTTAAACACAGATTGTGTCACTTACAAAAATATCTATTTATCCTTTTTGTTAAAATCCTCACGTATCTCAAAAAAAGTTCCAAGACAAACACTAGATTAAGTAACGTTTACCAAGTTTGCTATGATCATTCTAAACAGTGCAACTTCCTTGAAATGTGTTCTCTTTTCCCTTCTCCCACTGAAAGTATACCTCGCACCCCCAAGAATCTTTTCCTGTTCCCCAGCCTTCATTGTGCTCTTCTCTGAGCTGTCACAGCAGGAGTCCGGATAATTTAACATTGCCTTCTGTTATCTTCTTGATTATTTTATGGGTATTAGAATTTTCTCTGTAACCAGTCTGCACAGTCCTTGAAATCTGGAGTCAGGTTTGTTAATCCTCTGCGCCCTTCGTATTCCCTCCAAGTTCGCATCATTGAATCATTAAAGGTCTTTTCCCCCCCTAGTACCTTGACTTTAAGCTGTTAACTATAACGTTCTTTTCTTTTGTTCTTAGTTCAGCTATCACATAATTATCGATTTTTTAAAATGTTCAGATTCGAATTCCCATGTCATGGTTTTTAAGGTAGACTTTCTTGATACATCCAGAAGAGGATTTGATGCTGGAAACTGGAGTGATCGGTTGAAGGTTATTTGCTTATTTGGTTAATTTCTAATTATCCATGTGCATTTTTCTATTTCAGTGTTTCTCTTATTTATTTAAAAGAACATTTTATATGTCAGGGATGTTTACCTTTTGTTATGTGTTTCAAGTAATTTTCCCAAGTCTTGTATTTGTATTCCCAAGTCTTAAAAACACGCAGAAGTCTTAAACTCATATGGTCTGTTTTCTTGCATTTATGGATTGAGACATTGATGTCAATTGTAGAAAAAACTTACTCATTCTGATTTGGGTACATTTTCATCTTACATTTTTATGTGTATTTTTAACATTTAAAATTTCAAACCATTGGAATTCTCATAAAAGTTGTGATGTAGTAATCTCACCATATTCAAATGCTAAAAGATAGCTGCTTTATAAAAACACATTAAAATTCATTTAAACGGCTCAGGAATTGACATTTTTTTTTCTTTTTTGTGTAAACTTTTAAATCACAAATATTGTTTGTCCCAAGTTTTGGGTACATGGTATGATATGGTTGCCATATTGAAACCTGAACGAATTAAAGTGATTTTTCCTGTTTTGTCAAGTAGGCATTATTAATACTTTTTATTCTAATATCTGTGTGTATGTATGTGTGTGTGTTTTATCCCCTCTACTGCGTTGTAAATTATTTCAGGGCTGGGTCCTTACCTGGTTCATCTTTACTTCTCCCATTCCCTGCCATCCAGGAAGCAGACAACGCTTGTGTGACAGGCACTGGTCACTGGGGAAACAGAAGAATAAGAGGCTGCACTGCCAATGAGAGGCTTCCCATGTAATGAGAAAGTCAACCTCAAGTATACTACAGTAGCCCACTAATGTGTTGAGCAAATGCTCTGGGGATATGAGAACTGGGGATGCCTTCACAGAGGAAGCAGGACTGACTTGTGTCGCAGGGAATATATGGGAACACCAACAGACAGACCTGAAAGAGAGAGGCGTTCTAAAAAGGCGGAGGAATATGGGGCATTTCAGGGACTCGCTACTTGTGTTTAGTATGGCTAAAGCAGAGGGTACATACCTGTCTAGTCTGTCAGGATAGGACTAGAAAGACAGGGGCAAGATCAGTGCTGTCTAATGCAGAAGCTGCATGTGCCTCTTGAGCACTTGAAATGTGGCCGTTGCAGCTCAGGAACTGCATTTTTCATCTTAATTACTGTAAATAGCCACATATGGCAATGGCTACCCTATTGAAAGGCACAAGACTAGACTGGGAGAGCCCTCCTTTACCATCCTAAGGAGTTAGGACTTCTTCCCGAGGGGGAGAGAAAAGAGGTGGAGAAGAAAATGGAGCACCTGGGTTGCTCAGTTAAGCATCTGACTTTTGATTACAGCCCAAGTTATGATCTCAGAGTTGTGAGATCGAGCCCCACGTCTGCTAGTCCCTCCTCCCTCTGCACCTCCCCTTGTTCATGCGTGCTCTCTCTTTCTCTCTCTCTCTTCCAAATAAATAAATAAAATCTTTTAAAAAAGGAAGGAAGGAAGGAAGAAAAAAAGTTTGGGAGGTGGAAAGGTGTCAGGATTCCCAGTTGTTTTGGAAAGATCACTCTAGTGTGTAAGTTCTTAACCTTTTTTGGGTCCCAGCCAACTTTTTGACAGGCACTTTCCTGGTGTTTTTTGGTACTGGGAATGCAGCAGTCTGTCAAGCCAACAAAAATCCGGCCCATTGTGGAACTTGACCCATGAGCAAGAGAAATGCAAACAAACGTGCACACGCTATTTAGAGACAAGGATGAGAGTGGGGTTCTCAGTCTGGAATCTTAGCTTTTTTATATATAATCATCTTCTGTTAGCTGCATGACCTTGGGCAAGTTGCTTAGCCTCTCTGCCTCTCCTGTAAAGTGTTATACAAATAGTGCCTACCTTGTGGGTCATTAAGAGGAATAAATTAATATTTGTAAGTAAGCAGGGCCTGGCACATAATAAACTCTATATAACTATTTAATAAATAAGTAAAAGCTAAGGGAAAAAATAAAAGAGGTGGGTGGAGAGGACAACTTGATAGATGGATTGGGTGATGAGGAAAGGCCTCCCTGAGAAAGTGACACTGAGCGAAGACCTGGGGGCAGTGAGAAAGTGAGTCAGATGATTTCTAAGCAGAGGGAGCAGCATGTTCAGAGGCCAGGACGCCAGAATGGCTGGTGTGGAGTGAAAAGGGAGAGCAGACGATGAGATCAGAGGAGTGACAGGTGGCAAAGTCGTGTGGAGTCAGAGTAAAGCCTTCAGCACCTACTCTAAGAGCAGTGGGAGCCACTGGAGGTTCAAGCACGAGAGTAACGGGATCATAGGCCTGAGCAGGGATGGGGTGAGTGTCCACTTCTGCTGAAGAACCTGTGCCTAGAAGTCCTGGATGAAGGATTGGAGAGCCACTGGGTTGACACTACAGGGAGGAGACTAACTTGTTAGTCTGGGCAAGAGATGAGAAAAGGAACAGATTTTAGATGAAGTGAGTTAAAAAGGAAGGAGGGAAAATAAATAAATAAATAAATAAATAAATGGTGGAATCTGCTAGAAACTGGCTGTGGAAGGTGAAGGAGAACAAGGGGTCAGGCCTGACTCCCTTGCTTCTGGTTTAAGCAGCTTGGAGGAATTGAGACTGCGACTGCAGGGCGGGGCAGGTTAAGGGAGAAGGGAGTGAGGATTGCGGCACGAGCGTGGGTTTTAGAACTGTTTTTCGTGGGCAGGTGCTGTGTGCAGCTGGAGGTATCAGTAAGTGTGCGGAGATCTCTGTAGCTGTAGCTCGGAAGAGAAGCTGGGGATGGAAAAAGAAGTTTTTGAGCGGTCTGCAGACTGAAGCCGTCAGTGAGGTTGAGCAGGAGCAGAGCTCAGAGCTGGGGGAGAACGGAGCCAAGCCAGGAAGAAATCCAGGACACAGCGAAGCAGCCAGGCCTTTAGGAAGGAGACCTGGGAAGTGTCCTGAGAGGTTGCTGCTCAAGGGCTAGGAAGCCAGAAAGGGGAGATGGCATGGCTGTCTTGAGAAGCCTGAAAGAGATAAAGCCACAAAACCAAGGAATGGATCCAGTAGGTCAGAAGGAGGCCCTGGCTGCCAGCCCCTGCTAGCCCTTGTTTTCTCTGCTAGTTGGAGCCTAGGGGCTGGAGGAGTACGAGGCTGGGGGAAGCACCAGATCAGATTAGGAGCGTGGGACCTTGTGTGGTATCTTGTGCATACGCTAATCTCTCTTCCAGGAGTCCCTATTTCAGATTCCTTTTCAGTGAAGCGTTCTACCTACCGACTGCCTGGCACCACCCTGAGTCTTCCTTAATTCAGTACCTATTTGATGAGCTGGTATTTTGGGGTCACTGATTGGCTTTTAGGTAGAGAACACTAACTAGTGCCAGACTGTTGCCGTCTCTTGATTTAGGCCTACATCCCTGACAGCATGAAATTGACTTAGAAGTAGGGTGCTCAGAATAGGCCCTTCCAACAGCTTCAGTGCAAGGTTCGTGTACCAGATTATGTGTGGTTGGATTTAAACCCATACTTGGTAAAAGAACATAGATGTCTTCTTGGATTGTGCCATCTTTGTGACTTTTTTCACTTCCTGGAACAGGAGGTCTCTAACTCCAGGAGGACCTCTTTATTTCTGTAATGGTGTGTGAGGACTGACTCCTAGAACGTCACCTGGCCTCGGACCCGTCAGCATGGGGAGGTAAGTGATGGCATCTCATCGCCAGTACTTGTAAAACCCGAGCCTCTGGTGTCACAGTGACAGATCTTGAAAGGAAAAAAAACAAAACCAAAAAACTAAATTGCAAGTGAGAAGTTATGCTACACTTCTGTTTCACAGCTCTGTTCTTCCAGGCCACCCTGGGGCGCCTGTTATAGAGAGTGGTCATGCCAGGTGGTTTCTGCAGGGGTTGGGGTAGCTTACTTTGAAGGGCAGGTGTGTTGGAATCTGTGAGGGGTTGTACTAAGCATGGGATAACTGTCCGGAAGCCTTGGAGGAGTGGGCAGGGGATGGTGCAATCTGTGGAGTGGCCCAAGGACCCACATGGAGACTGGACACTGCAGGTGGAGCACCACTGGGTTAGCAGGATGGCTCTCCCTTCTGCGACTTATTTTAGTCTAGGAAGCACCCCTAAAGGGAAGAGTATAGAAATTAACCACAAAACATTTATTCTAAAAGTAGCAAGCTTTTCTTCAGCCTAATAATAATCACTTATTCCCGATATACACGGAGAAGAAAAGTGTTTATTTGCAAAAATGGCTCAGAAATAATTTTAAAAACACAGAACATACAAAACTCATTTATTGACTGTATTATGCAGATATTGTTAAAGATATTGTTTTTTTCTCCCATTTTGTCACTCAGTCATCAGGGAGAAATTTGCCTTGGGATTCAGTGTTAAGAAAATCTTCCTCCTCCTGATCTGTTTATATGTTTCTAATCTAATGGACAAGGTTTTGGCCCCTACATGCATTTCCTTGTTCTGAATTGTTTTTTGGTTTCATTATCCTTAAACCTGCGTTCATTGTAGATTTATATATTTACGGTATTGAACTTCTACTTGTCTCTGATTTTTATGTTTGTTTTTGAAACAAAGCAGGGAACAAATAATCTACACAATATTGTCAAGAAAAGTGGAAAAACACAGAAATGTGATTACCATCAGGATGTAATTTTCATCCATGTAGTTTTATAATAATGAGTAAAATAGCAAAATAGCAACAGGGAAGGTGTTGGTGTACAGATACCTCCCAGAGGGAAAACGGGTGGCTTGACCCAAATGTTAACCTTGAGATCAATTTAGGTAAGGTGAGACCTCTTTGGAGCAGATTGCTTTAAAATCTGGTTGTTGGTTGTTTTTTGTTTTTTGTTTTTTTGAATTTTAGGATCGGCATCTCTTGTCTTTTTCCTGCTTCCTGGCATTTTAGCATCTCTCCAGTGGGGTGTCCTCGAATTCTGAATACCAATTTACGCCAGATTATTGTTATTAGCGTCCTAGCTGCCGCTGTTTCACTTTTATACTTTTCTGTTGTTATAATCCGAAATAAGTATGGGCGACTATCCAGAGACAAGAAGTTTCACAGGTAAGAGAAGAAAACATTTCTAGACGGGATGCTTCATGTTACAGCTTCAGGACTTTGGGGATTAGGTTGGAGTTGAAGGAGCAAGTGGCTGCAGGAAACAGAATCTGTAGAGAATACAGTGTGGCAGGAAAAATTAAACTGTCGGAAGCTATTTAATCATTAACCACCAAATCCACATAGTAAGAGGATTTAAACATAAGCTTCTCCTGTGATATCTTCTAAGCTGATTTTTCAGTTAATGTCAATAGTTTGGGAATAGTTTTGGTTCTCAGAACTTGTTTGAACTTCTTAAAAGGAGTAATGACTGTGTATCTGGTTTAGATTATCTTTATCACTATCACTGGGTTCTGTTTTGACTCTTTAATCATTTGACCCCTTGTAAAAATGCGATTATGGATCAGCTCAGAATTCATGGACTTGGTGTTTGTTTATTGCATTTGTTGTGCGGATTCAGGATGATAGTCTCTGTTTCAGTAAAAGCATATGTTCATTTTTCTGAACAAGGTACTTGGCACGAGTTACTGACATTGAAGCTACAGACACCAATAACCCCAATGTGAACTACGGTATCGTGGTGGACTGTGGTAGCAGTGGGTCTCGCATATTCGTCTATTGCTGGCCAAGGCACAATGGCAATCCTCATGATCTGTTGGATATCAGACAAATGAGGGATAAAAACCGAAAGCCAGTGGTTATGAAAATAAAACCCGGTATGTAAAAGATAAATATCTGATTGGTAACCAGGTTCTGTCCTTTATTCTCTGTGAGGTCTTTCATGTCCTTCTCTCCTCTCTCCATTAAGTCATCACCCTGGTTCAGAGCTCACTCCAGGACCTGATTGTTTCACTTTCTTTCCCCTCTTCTGTCTATCTCACATGAGGCAACTACTCCTTGATAAAATATACAAAACCATGTCTTTCTCGTGTCTCCTGCAGCATTTATCACAGTGCCTTACTCATGTGTCTACTCAGGTGTTTGCTAGTTGACATTAATTATGGAGGGATTTTTTTTTTTCTATTTGGTGGCCATCGCTCGCTGTCCCTGAAAACAGGGTAATTTCAGATAACTCATGGATATCTGTAGTCTAATACATTGGTACATATTTCTCTTTTTTCCCCTCATTTTTAAAAAGTGCCCCAATGTTGTTTTTTTTTTTTTTTGAGATTATATTTTATTTATTTATTTATTAGAGAGAGGAGAGCTCGTGCTAGTGCAGGTGGGGGTAGGGGGAAAGGTCGAGAGAGAATCTCAAACAGACCCTGTGCTGAGTGCAGAGGAGCCCTGAGATCATGACCTGAGCCCAAACCAAGAGTCATATGCCTAACCGACTGACCCAGGTGCCCCAGTGCCACCCCCAATGTATTTCTGATCATCTAGATTATTTAGTAAGAGTGACTGTAGAACTTAGAAGAGCCAGTGTTGTTATGTCCAGTTTTTAAAGATATCATAGTTTCTAAGTCAGTGTGTTGTGTAAAAATTGGGCTTTGCCTTTTCCATTAGATAATTTAAATCTGTCGTTCTCAACTTTTTTCTGTATGTACAGTTTCCATGGGCATTGCCCTTCTATCAGAAGTATTAGGAATGAAAGGTGTCCAGGAGTACCTTGCAATAGGCATTTTATGTCTTGATAGTTGATAATCACTGATTTAAACCGTGCACCACAGGGGTTCTTGGCTGGCTTATTTGGAAGAGCATGTGACTCTTGGTTTCAGCTCACCCCACGTTGGATGTAGAGATTACTAAAACAATAAAATAAACTTAAAAAAATAAAACACTGGACCACAGATCTTAATAGAGATTCAGCATTTTTATTTCATCTTGCTAGTGTGTTAAATAGTAAAATATTAAACCCAAATAATCCCAGAAATTTGTCTTATAAAATATTAGAGAATATTGATAAAAAACAATTATCTTAGCTTATTCTCCTACTTCAAATACATAAATGTAAAGGAAGTTCAGTTTTAATGATAAAATACCTTTCCTCATAAATGACATTGACTCATAAATTGACTCAAATGACATTCCTTGTAATGGCATTGACTGTGGGTTCTTTGAGCCCCCCCCTAATTCTTCATTGAATAATTTAGGCCCCACTTTCTTCTTCAGGCAACCCTTAACAAGGTGATTGTTCTTTGATATTTCGGCATCTGGGCACCAGCATATTGCCCCAAAATCCAAAACCTCTACCTTGTTTCTTAGGTTAAAGGGAGGGAATTTAATTGGAGTCTCTTATAAAAGCATTATTTTAATATCAAAGTAAATTTCCATGAACAATGATCATTTTTTTCTCTAACTCTTAATGATTGTGAATTTTTAGTTTTCTGTTATTCCATTCCTTGAATTTTGATGTATTCCTAATCTAGAAACATTTTCAGAGTTAAAGTAATGTTGATCAAATAAAAAATTCACCAGAAGATTGAAAAATAAAGCTCTATAAAGCACATTGCTTTCACATATCAGGTTCCATCAGCGATCAAACTGCTCACCTGAAATAAGATAAAACCTGTCATGCCTTGCAGTTGTCCTTTGGGACATCATAGGCTTAACATGGTTCTTTCTGATGCTACAGAAAGTATTTGAAGTAGAAATCCAAGTACCTTTTTATAGCTCTTCTTGGTCCTGAAGCAGGGACTCTCATGTATAGCATTTCAGCAAAGCTCTAGAAGTTTCCTTACTTAATAGTTGGGGCTTGGTGTCTGTTGAAACAGCATTGTAGGTGGAATTAAAAAAAAAAGAAAAAAGATCTGTCTTTTAGTCTGTTTTCTGCTGACTGCTCTGACAAATCACTTAAATCTTTCTGGATCCAGAGTTTCCTAATCTGTGAAATGAGAAATTTGGGGACTTTTAAAATTTGAAGTCAGGAAGATACTCTTTGCATAGGGAATGATCAAGGGATCGCCAAGACTGGAGTGGAGCCTGTGTTGCATCAGGCTGCCAGAAGAGATGAGGAGAAATGAAATAATGTGAGAGGAACCAGGGAGATGTGATCAGGGACACCCAGAACACACATTAGGGGAGGGAGAGGGATTTATCCAGAATCCTGGCTTGGGCTGCTGGCAGGCTAGTGACGGTGGTCACTGGGGTAGGTAACAAGCAGTAGGAGCAGATTTGTAGTGGAAGTTTGATTCAGGTTTGTATATATATGTGTGTTGAGTTTGGGGTCTGTAAGGACCAGCATCTGGCCATGTCTAGGGGACAGTTCCCACATGCTGATCTGGAGGTTGGGAACATGATCTGGTGGCTACTGGTAAGATTTGGGGAACTGAGACACAAAGGTGATGGTGGCAGCCAAAGGAGTGAGTGAGCTTGCCTGAACAAAGTGGAAACATGTTCTGGAGGGCAGGCTCGTGAGCTTATGTGCTGTCGATCCCAGTGTCTGACACATAGTAGTTGCGCAATCAGGTCTCAGTTTCTTGGAGACTGAGAAGAGAGGTTAAGACTGAACATTTAGTACCACCACCACGTAAGGAAGAGAGGCTGTGAAGGTTGTTGCTAGAGGGATAGGGAAAAACTAGGGGAGTGTGGTGTAGAGCCAGAATTTCTCTCAAATATGCCCCTTTGAAGAAACATAACATATTAATTAACTATCTACTTGTTAACCGAAGTGCTCTTTTTTCTGTAGGCATTTCCGAATTTGCTACCTCTCCAGAGAAAGTCAGTGATTACATTTCTCCACTCTTGAACTTTGCTGCAGAGCATGTACCACGGGCAAAACACAAAGAGACACCTCTCTACATCCTCTGCACAGCTGGAATGAGAATTCTTCCTGAAAGGTGATCCTCCACATGGGGCCAGGGCAGGCCAGGCCCTGAGGGTGGGGGAGGTGGGTGGGTGGGGGAGAGAGTGGGGTGGGCCATGGTGGTGGTGTATTCCCCACCTCCCCTCCTGTCCCTTTTCCTTCCCTTCCTCCTCGTTCATTATCATCACCAAAAGGAAGACAGTAAAAATTCTTTGTTCAAATTTGGAATAGAGCCTAAACTATTCCCTTAGCCAGAATGCACCAAAAATCTCCTCATGTATTTGATTATAATTATAAATAGTAAACTATAAAGTAAACAGTAAACCATAACCTATAAAGTGGTCATATAAAAAAACCCTGATTTTCTATGTTATTAATTTAAGGATTATAGTTGTAGTTTCATATCTGGGAATCACAGAATTCACACAACTCACGAGATTTCTTCCTAAAATAGTTTTAGTCAGTGAATTACTTTGGCTTTAAAATTTACTGTTTTTGTACAGGACATACCAGAGCCATAGTTTTTGTTTTGTTGTGCTTTTTTTTTTCTCTTTTTAAAACAGAGAAATGTAGGCTCCATTTTGATATGTCAATTTTGGGGTTGTCTTCCAGCCAGCAGAAAGCCATCCTGGAGGATCTCCTGACTGATATCCCCGTGCACTTTGACTTCTTGTTTTCTGACTCTCACGCAGAAGTGATTTCAGGGAAACAAGAAGGTTGGTATATTGGTCTTCAACCTGAAATTTGGGAAGTTATTCCTTTAAATCCTCCCCATTTTTTTTTCCAGTGTACGCATTATTAAATTACTTTTACTATCTTAAAATTTAGGAAATTGTAGCTTGAAATATTATTTTTAAATGGCAAAGTTAGTTTGTTATATGAGTGGCCTTTATTCTCCAAACATTAAGCCATTAAAAAAATAACTTAGTTTGTCTTTACCACATTTAGGAAACATACATTGGATTCATTTGGATAGGAAAGGTTTGTGTTCCTTGTCTAAGGTATACACCTTTTTGTAATTATGATAATTACTGCGTTATTGGTGCCTTCTGTCAACTTATTTGCTACAAAGGGGAAATTCTTGACTTTGATACACTGAGAAAATATTAGTTCTGCTTTCAAGTAAATGATTTTACTTGAGAATGAAGTAACAAATCAGTGGGATATTATCTGGGGACTAGTTTGCTAGAAATGAAGACCAAAAGCACCTATTTCAAAATCATCTAACATTTGGGCAAACACCTCCTCTGGGAAGGACATTGTAGAAAATACAAACTGGGTGAAATTCAAATACTGCCAATGAGCTGTTCACAGACGAGTGAGGTATGCAGTTAGCTGCCACATAAGATAGAGTGCTAGGTGCCATAAGGAAGGTAAGCAAGAAGTACTGTGGGAGTTTGCAAAAGGGAGTTTTGCTTTGTTTTTTCCTTGCTAGGGACATCGTAGAGCAAGTGACAGTTTAAACTGTGGGATAACTAGCTATAAGCATGCCAGAGCCTGGTGAGGGTAGGGCTCTGAGAGAAGGATAGGAAGTACATTCCAAGCAGAAGAAATGATCTGAGTCAGCATAGGTTAGAAAAGCTGCACTGTGGACAGAGGAACAAAAGTAGTTTGAGTGGCATATGGCCCTTTTGAAAAGTGGTAGTAAGATGAAAAGTTGGACAGGTCTTGGTGATGTCCGTGTTGTGGCAGCGTGAGTTGTTCCTTTTTTCCCTTCCTTTTGATTTAAAACTAATCATACATCTATAACCCAGAGAAAGTAGCTCTGCATAGGACACTCAGCACATCCACCCGTCTAAAAATGGGTGGCTTGAACCTCATAAGAGGCCTTGGAGCCAGGCAAGTGGCGGCAGGGGCACCAGGGGACCCACACGATTTTTCTAGCAGGGGAGGCAGAGGGTGAAGGTGGTGAGTTAGGGGTTTACCCAACAGTGTGTGCCAGCTGATCTCTCTGAGCAGAGATCGCAGTGACTGAGAGGAGGGAAAGGAAAAGGGAAGAAGGCTCAGAGAACTGAAGGAATGTGTTTCCTGCTCTCTGCCCCAGGGTTCTGGCAAGAGGATCACCCATGCACCTCTGGGTCTCCCACCCCCACTTAAGGATCCCCTACCAGGCTGTGGTAGCCCCAAGTACTAAACACAGTTCCATGAACTCTGCAGTCATCCTTTTTTTCTTTTTTTTAAATTACTGACCTTGTTAGAACGAAGGTAAATTGTTAGAACCAAAGTAAAAAAAGCCTTCCCTAATAAGAAAGGTGTCCATGACTTGAAATGCAGCAGAAAGAGTACTTTTTATCAAACACTGAAAAATCATCTTAATATGGTATCACAAAAAGAACATGGCAGTTTTCCAGTAATTGAGCCCAAAGACATGGAATATTTAAATCTAACTGATAAAGAATTTAAAATACTATTATAAAGAAATTCAGTGAGCTAATACAGTGATCTCCAGAATAAAATTAATGGAAAGAAGAAGAGATTAAACTTCTAAAAAACCAAACATTCTGGAGCTGAGGAAGTCAATACATGAGATGAGGAATGCACTAGAATGCATTGGAAATAGAGCAGATGGAGGAGAGAATAAGCAAGCTTGAGGATAGGAATATAAAAATGGTTCCCCTAAAAGAGGAACAAAAACTAAGGTTTTTAAAAAGTGAAGAAACCCTGTGAAAACTATCAGACTCCTTTAGCAGAACCAACATAAGATTAGAGGGTATCCCAAAAGGAGAAGAGAGCATTTTTAAAGAGGTAATACAGAACTTCCCAAAACCAGGGAAGGAACTGGGTTCTTTCTGGTCTATGAAGCTAACAGACCACTTTATTTATCTCAGTGCAAAAAGACCGTCTCTGAGACACATTACATTAAAACTGTCAAAAGTCGGTGATAAATTATTTTGAAGGAAACTAGGGGGGAAAAGACAGTAACCTACAAAAGAAGTTCTGTCAATATCAGCATATTTTTCAGTGGAAGCTCTACAGGCCAGGAGAGAGTGGAATGACACTTTAAAATATTGAAAAATACAAATTGCCAGCTGAGAATACTCTGACAAAGTTATCCTTGGATATAAAGGTGAAATAAAGGCTTTCCCAGACAAACAGAAGCTAAGGAAGTTCACCACCCCCAAACAACTTACAAGAAATGTCGAAAGGAGCTTTTCAAGCTGGAATGAAAAGAGGAAGGCACAGAAAATCTGATTAAGGTGATAAATAGAAAAACTAACATTTTTAGAATAGTATATTAAACAAGTACAAAGGTTAAAGGAAAAAGAGCATGAAAAGTAAACATAGCTACTATAACTTGGTCACAACATCACAACATAAAAAGATAACTTGTGACATCAGAAATATAAAAGGGGAAGAGTAAAAGGGGATAGAAACTTTATAGGTGAACAAAGATAAATTGCTATCAGTAGAAAAACGACTTCTACCTATGAGATGTTTTATGTAAACCACAAAGCAAACATCAGAGCAGAGAGACACAAAACATTAAAAAAGGGGGGACACTAAGCAAACTGTGGAAACCTTGGAGGACCACAAACTTACAAGGGTAAAGGAAGGAAGGGTAAAGAAGGAAGAAAACAAGGGAGAGACAAAATAACCAGAAGGCAGTACATAAAATGGCAGTAGTAAATCCTTACAGATCAGTAATCACTCTAAATGTAAACAGATCTAATTTACCGATCAAAAGTCACAGAATGTCTGGATAGATTTAAAAAAATAAGACCCAACTATATGCCACCTATAGTAGACTCGTTTCAGCTCTAAGACACAGATAGACTTTTCCAAGCAATTGGAAACCAAAAGAAGGCAGGCATAGCCATATACATATCAGACAAAATAGACTAGAAAGCTAGAAGCATAATGAGATAAAGCAGGTCATTTTATGATGATAAACAGGCCAGTACTTCAAGAAGAACATAAGTATATATGCTCCCAACACCGAAACATTGAGATATATTAAGCAAATACTAACAGGTCTTAAAGGAGAAATAGAGAACAATACAATAATAGCTGGGAACTTCCGAATCCCGCTATCACCAATGGATGAATCACCCATACAGAAAATCAGCAAGGCAAAATATTGGAATTGAACCACATGTTAGCGCAAATGGACTTAACAGGTATATACAGGACATCCCATCCAATAGCAGCAGAATATACATCTTTTCAAGTCTACATGGAACATTCTCCAGGTTAGATCATATGAGAGATACAGAGGAAGTCTTAACAAGTTTAGGAAGATTGAAGTCATGGCAGCCATCATTTCTGAACACAATGGTATGAAACTAGAAATCAATAAGAAGAAGGTGAGAAAATCTACAAATATGTGGAAATGAAACAGCATACTTCTAAACCAGTAGGTCAAAGAAGAATTCAAAAGGAAATAAAAAATTATCTCAAAACAAATGAAAATGGAAATAGAACACAGCAAATATTGCAGAATGTAGCAAGAGCAGTTCTGAGGAGAAAATTTACCGCAATAGAAGCATATATTGACAAATTAGATCTCAAATAAACAGTACAACATTACACCTCAAGTAACTAGAAGAACAAATGAAGCCCAAAGTTAGCAGATGGAAGGAAATAATAAAGAGCAGAGTGGAAATAAAATAATCATGTGATCATCTCAAAAAAGTATTGTAGAAAATGCACTTGACAAAATATAACATCTTTTCGTGATAAAAATTATTTTTTTAATTATTTTTTTTAAATTTATTTTCATCGTAACAGTATTCATTGTTTTTGCAACACACCCAGTGCTCCATGCAATCTGTGCCCTCTCTAATACCCACCACCTGGTTCCCCCAACCTCCCACCCTCCGCCCCTTCAGACCCCTCAGATTGTTTTTCAGAGTCCATAGTCTCTCATGGCTCACCTCCCCTTCCAATTTCCCTCAACTCCCTTCTCCTCTCTAACTCCCCTTGCCCTCCATGCTATTTGTTATGCTCCACAAAAAAGTGAAAACATATGATAATTGACTCTCTCTGCTTGACTTATTTCACTCAGCATAATCTCTTCCAGTCGTGATAAAAATTCTTAACAGTGGGTATAGAAGAAACAACATAATAAAAACCATGTTTAACAAACTCACAGCTAACATTAGACTCAATGGAGAGAAATTGAAAGCATTTCCTTTAAGATTGGGAATAAGACAAGGATACCTGCTCTTGTCACTCCTGTTCAATATGGTACTGGAAGTCTTAGCTAGAGTAACTAGGCAAGACAAAGAAAAGACATCCAGATCAGAAAGGAAAAAGTAAAACTGTCATTATCTACTGATAATATGATCTTATTTATAGAAAATCCTAAAGAGTCCATCAAAAAGCTGTCAGTCATTGAATTAATCAACAGTTTCTGTAAAGAGGCAAGATAGAAAACCAACATACAGAAATCAGTTGCATCCCTTTACCCTAAGGATGAATTATCTGAAAAAGAAATAAAACTATCTCATTCACAGTGGTATCAAGTTTTTGATAAGAATAAAATAAACTTAAGCAAGGAAGTGGAAGATCTTTACAATAAAACCTGTAAGGCTTGACTGAAAGAAATGGAAGAAGACAAATTGAAAGACGACCCATGTTCCTGAACCGGAAGAATTAATTTTGTTAAAACTGCCATACTAGTCAAAGCCATCTGCAGATTTTTTTTTTTAAAGCCTTTATTCATTTATTTGACACAGAGAGAGAGATCACAAGTAGGCAGAGAGGCAGGCAGAGAGAGAGAAGAGGAAACAGGCTCCCCACTGAGCAGAGAGCCTGACTTGGGGCTTGATCCCAGGACACTGGGATCATGACCCAAGCCAAAGGCAGAGGCTTTAACCCACTGAGCCACCCAGGTGCCCCGCCATGTACAGATTTAATGCAGCCCCCACTGAAATACCAAAAGCATTTTTCACAGAAACAGAAGAAAGAATCCTAAAATTTGTGTGTATCACAAAAGACCCCTAATAGCCAAAATAATCCTGAGAAAAAAGAACAAAGCTGGAGGTATCATGCTTTAATTTCAAACCATTCTACAAAGCAATGTTAATAGAAACAATATGGTACTAGCATAAAAAAAAAATAGGACACATCAATCAGTGGAACAGAATAGAGAACCCAGGATTAAATCCCAGCATATATTGCCAGCTAATACCCAGTGAGGGAGCCAAGAACATCAAGTGGGCGAAGGATAGTCTCTTCAACAAATGGTGTTGGGAAAACTGAGGAAACACACGCTAAACAATGAAATTAGACCCTTGTCTCACACCACTTGCAGAACCTAAAAAAAGGATCAGAGTTAAACATGAAACCTGATATCATAAACTCTTAGAAGAAAACAGAGAGAGGAAGCTCATCGTATTAGTCATGGCAATGATTTTTTGGACATGACACCCAACAGCACAAATGACAAAAGCAAAAACCAACAAATAGGACTATATCAAACTCAAAAGCATCTACACAGTAAAACAAACAATTAACAAAGTGAAAAAACAACCTACACAATAGGAGAAAATTTTTGTAAGCCGTATATTGGCCAAGGGGTTAGTATCCAAAATATATAAAGATCTCATATGACTTATTAAATTAAGACACAATTTGATTAAAAACTAAACAGACATGGGGCGCCTGGGTGGCTCAGTCAGTTGAGCATCAGACTCTTGGTTTCAGCTCAGGTCATGATCTCAGGTCGTGATCTCGGAATGTGAGATGGAGCCCCACATTGGGCTCTGTGTTCAGCAGGGAGTCTGAGATTCTCCCTCTCCCTCTGCTCCTCCCCCCATGCTTGCTTACTCGCTCTCAAATAAATAAATCTTTACAACAAACAAAAAAAAACTAAATAGACATTTTCCAAAAAGGACAGCAAAATGGCCAACGGCACATGAAAAGATGCTCAGCGTCACTCATCAAGGAGATGCAAAGCAAAACCACAGTGAGACTTTATCTCATACCGGTTAGAATGGCCATCATGGAGAAGACAAGGTAGCAGGTGCTGGCAAGAATGTGGTGAAAAGGCCTTATACGTTGGAAGTGGGAGTGTAAATTGGCCCAGGCACTACAGAGAACAATGTGGAGGTTCCTCAAAAAATTGGTTAGGAATACCATACAATCCAGTAATTACATTTCCAGGTATATACCCAAAGAAAATGAAAACAGGATTTCAATAGGATGTCTGCACTCCCATGTTTATCACAGTGTTAGTTACAAGAACCAAGATAGAGAAACAACCCAAGGGTCCATCAATGGATGAACGGTTAAAAAAGATGTAGTACATATACACAATGTAATATTATTCAGCCATGAGAAAGGAGGATATCCTGCCATTGGTGACAAGACGGATGGACTTTGAGCACATGATCCTAAGTGAGATAAGTCCAACGGAGAAAGACCGTACTGTTTGCTGTTGCTTACTTGTGGAATCTGAAAAAGTCAAACCTATGAAAAAAACGGAATAAAATGGTGGTTACCAGGAAATGGGGGTTGATAAGATCGATGGTGTTTAAAGGTGCAAACTTGGAAGGAGTAACGAGCCATAGAGTTCTAGTGGACAGTATAAGGAGTATAGGCAGTAATACTGTATGTAACGTGGCAAGGGCAATCGTACCACAGTGTATAGACCTATCAAAGTAATACAATGTACACCTTAAAGTTACACAATATTACATGTCTGATTTATGCAAGAAAAACAAAGTTTTTATCTAAGAGGTCTTGGATTGTCAGGCTGTGGGGTTTGGCCTTTGTTCTGGAGGTCAGGCCAATTGCAGAGAATAGCATGGGTTGGAGTGGGGGAGGAGGACAGGGAGATTGACTGGGTCTCTGTAACAGCTTAAATCAAGGTGGAAATGAAGTGGGTAAAGATTGGATAGAGGAAATGTAGAAGGGGATCTAGGCTCGGCAACTGAGTGAAAGGAAGGCATGAAGGAACTGGAAGAGTCAGAGTTAATTTGTTTTTTCAAGTTTGCAGTTGATAGGCTTAACTTCATGAAGTAAAAACTCCATTATTTCAAGAGAGTTCCAAATGAAAGCTGGCATTGAGGGAATTCTATTTTTACCCATGTAAATGGTAAGAATTATACATTTTAAAGTTGAGAGTTCTTGGAAAGCCACTAGGAGAATACAAAATACATTATCAGGGTTGCTTTATTTCAGATAATGTGTTCACAGGTTGTTAGGGAGTAAAGTAAATGAGTTGTTTGTGCTAACTGCATGGATAAGAGTTATAAAAAGTATCTTAGAACTTTATCCTTCTCATCTTCCCCCTGTGAAATGTCTGTAGGTGTGTATGCTTGGATTGGCATTAATTTTGTCCTTGGACGATTCGAGCATATTGAGGATGGTAAGTATCAAGTTTCCAACCAACTTGTCTGACTGGAAATGAGGCTGTTCTGTCTAATCCCAAAGGATAAAAAGGGGGCTAAGTTTTGTTTTTTAAAGATTTTATTTACTTGAGGGCGCCTGGGTGGCTCAGTGGGTTAAAGCCGCTGCCTTCAGCTCAGGCCATGATCCCAGGGTCCTGGGATCGAGTCCTGCATCGGGCTCTCTGCTCAGTGGGGAGCCTGCTTCCTCCTCTCTCTCTCTCTCTCTCTCTCTGTCTCTCTCTGCCTGACTCTCTGCCTACTTGTGATCTCTCTGTCTCTCTGTCAAATAAATAAATAAACAATCTTTAAAAAAATATATTTTATTTCTTTGAGACAGCATGAGTGGGGAACAGAGGAAGTGGAAGGAGCAGACTTCCCACTGAGCAGAGAGCCCGATGCGGGACTCGATCCCAGGACCCTGGGATCATGGCCTGAGCTGAAGGCAGACACACTTAACCGACTGAGCCACCCAGGCACCCCCAGGAGCCAAATTTTGAGACACAGCTAAGTGGGTAGGAGTAGATAGAGGAGCTGCTCTTTCCCACTATGACTATAGGTGGGAGGAGTAGGCTGAGTTTGCCCAGATGGGCTTAAGAGAAGTACCATGGAAACAAGGGGACTCATGAGAAGATCCCCATTTTCCAGGTTGGTTCTGTTCCAACGGATATTTCTTATTATTTGCAGATGAGGAGGCAGTTGTGGAGGTTAACATTCCTGGTAGTGAAAGCAGGGAAGCTATTCTCCGTAAAAGGACAGCCGGTATTCTGGACATGGGCGGCGTGTCGACTCAGATAGCGTACGAAGTTCCCAAAACTGTAAGCTTTGCCTCCTCACAGCAGGTTACTATCCGTACAAATTTTCTTCTGTTTGGTTTGGTTTTCCTTTAACATGTCTCCATCCATTTTTGTCTTGTTTTCTGAGTCTGAACACATCTTTACTATGCTTGCTGAGGCCCTACCTTCCCAACCCAGGAGAACGGAGTCAGGAGAAAGCCACGCAAACCTCTGCTAAGCCGTTTGTGTTTGTTCATTGAAGTCAGCTGGTTTGTTTTCTGAACTGGGCGTTTTTGTTTGGTATAAATTTTAGTCACATGCTTGAATTTTTGTTTGTATTTTCTCTTCAGTCACTTCTTTTCTCAACAGATACTGTAAAACATAATGTAATAGCATCACATTTCTTAAGTTATAGTTGGGGAATGTACTGGGGTTTCTTTCAAGGCTCAGACAGCTTTTGACTTTTCTAGAAAGAATTGAGGTTTGTATGCACTGTTTGCACATTTCTGAACTTAGGGTTTCCACTGTTTTCTCCTGTGCCTCTCAGGGCCCGCAGTCACTACCTATAGTTTCCCAATAGGCTGGGCAGCCTCGTCTAGAGAGCACCAGGAAGGTTTCCGGATGTGTTCCTGAACTGCTACACATCTTTAAGACTCTCTTTCCACTCAGCTGTAAATTCCTACTAAAGCCTGGTTTCCTGCATTTCCCCTTAGCATGGTGTAGTGGTTAAAAAAGCCTGGCCTCCGTCGTCACGTGAGCCTCGCTAGATGTGACCTTAAGCACATCGCTTAACTACTGGGAGGCAGGTTCTTCATCTGTAGAGGTCCATGCAGGCAGCTCTCACATGGGGCTTTTATAAGGCTGAGATGAGATAGTGCATATAACATAGCTGATGTACTGCCAGCTGCCTAGCGTTCGCTGTTACTGGCGTATTTATTAAGCTCTTTACAGAAATGCTTTGTAAATTCAAATACAACGATTTGTGTGTCCTTCTTCTCGTCCCAGCATGCCTCTAGAAACTATTATACCTTTTGTTAAAAGTCGTGTTTTCCCCCTCAAGACAAAGTAAAAAATACATAGAAAGCAAGTTTCGAAAAAAATACTGAAAACTCAGGGTTAAAACTTTTCTATGGGTGTGTCATCCAAAAACAATCATTGTTAGCATTTTGGTGTATTTCTTTTCATTCATTTTTCTGTATTTATAGTTTTTTTTCCCAATATGGTTGTTGTAATCTTACTGTTTATATAATTTTGTGTCCCTCATTTAATAGTGCATAAGCATGTTCCTCCACATACTATTGATTACCATAATTAACTAAGCCCTCCTTGGAGTTGTAGATTTTTTTTTTATGTTAAAAAAAATTTTTTTTTAAAGATTTTATTATTTATTTGAGAGAGTGAGAGAGAGAGTGCAGGAGCAGGGGCATAGGGGCAGAGGGACAGGGAGAAGCAGACCCCGTGCTGAACAGGGAGCCTGATGCAGGCTTGATCCCAAGATCCCAAAGTCATGATCTGAGTCAAAGGTAGACACTTAACCAACTGAGCCACCCAGGCGCCCCAGAGCTGTAGATTTAGATGACACTTGGTTTTTTCTCTCACAGAACACAGAGGTCATCTTTGTATGTGGAGATTTTTTGATGTTTAGAATTATTTCTAAAACATAGGCTTACATAAGTACGTATACTACCTCGGAGGGTATGAACTATGTCTTTCCAAAGTACGTATATTACATCGGAGGGTATGAACTTCCCTTTCCAAAAAGCAACAGTATCACAGGCGTGCAGCACATCTGGAATTTCTTAAGTCAGAATTGTCATATTGAATTTGGAAGGATGCTTGGAAGGGTCCTTGGGAAATGCAGAAGCAGACATTTTTGCTGCTTTTAGATGGGAATCTTTTTAGATCCTTTTTCACAGGAGGTTATTGTTTTTGTATTGCTTTAAATATTGAAGTCTTTTATCCTTGCATCCGCAGGAAGAAGTAGCTAAGAACTTGTTAGCTGAATTTAACTTGGGATGTGATGTTCACCAAACTGAGCATGTGTACCGAGTCTATGTGGCCACATTTCTTGGGTTTGGTGGCAATGCTGCTCGACAGAGGTACGAAGACCGAATATTTGCCAGCACCGTTCAAAAGAACAGGTAAAGCACCTTCCACTTCGCAGCATTCACCTTTCAAACCTCAGTATCTCCTCATAGAAAACATATCCAGGCAAAGCAGGGAGACCTCAAGCAACAGAAGCATATCAGCACTGTCAGCTTTTGACTCCCCTGGCAGCTGAGAAATGAAGGGACAGCAGATGTCTTTGGCTCTGAACCCTTCCAGCCTCCGAAGGAAGATCTCTCGCTTAGACCCACACCTCCGTAGATTAGAGATTTCACTGTTAATGTATTGAGGCAGTTTTGAACCCTGGGTAGTGTATTTCACATTGCAGAGCCCTTGGGAAACTCAGCACCTGGGCCTCTGCAGATGTCTCAGAGGCCTGCAGTAAGTGATGATCAAATTGTCATTGAGGATGGAAGGGGATTACCTGATGTTCTGGTGATGTTCTGGAAAACCAGCCTGTGCAGTCAGTTAGTGGGTAAGACCATAGAGAAAGAAGTTATTCAAGAGAAAGAAGTGATCTACAAGTCTAAGTTAGTGATTTTAAACATTTTTAGCAGTGAAACTTTTAAAAATGCGTTTATGAGGGGCCCAAAATGGTGACCAGCTGCTATGAGCATTTCCTTAAGCTCTGTGAGGACTGGCCAGTGGATGAGAGCAAATAGGGCTGGGACTTGGGCACTTACCTGCGGCACAGCGTAAGACAGGCCTTTAAGGAGGGAGAGAACACCCATATTCCAGAACCTAAGGCCTGTGGTCAGGTGTATGAGAGCTTAGCACAACTCCATTCGAACTATTACAAACACAAGTACCCTCATCCCAGAGACACAAGCTTCAGCAGCCTGTTCATGGAAGAGTACAAGCTGATCCTGTCCACAGAAAACTTGAGAGAGTTTAAGGAAATGAATAAAGACATATGGAAGACACTGCAAGAGAAGTTTGTCCCCAGGAATCCCAAGGAGAAGCAGAAGGCCTGGGCTCAGTCCTTATCTCACCCATGCATCTAAACGTGGAGTCTTAGGTATTTATGTCATCATAAATTTACATCATCACAAATAAAACTGCCCTGATTTTTACCGAAAAAAACCCAAAAAACAAAAAACTGAGTTTTATAAAAAAAATTCTGCTATAGAAAATATATAAAACAAATAAAAGCAACACTATTGTATTGTATTGTATTGTATTATATTATATTATATTGTATTTATTTGTCAGAGAGAGAGAGTAAAGGCAGTGGGAGCAGCAGGCAGAGGGAGAGGGAGAAGCAGCCTCCCCACCAAGCAAGGAGCCTGAGGCAGGACTCAATCCCAGCATCCTGGGATCATGACCTGAGCTGAAGGCAGACGCTTCACTGACTGAGCCACTCAGGTGTCCCTAAATCAGCACTTTAATTAGTTTAAATTTTTAAGTTTAAGTATATAACAATTATTTATTTGAAATTGGGGCATAAGAAAAGCAAAGCTGTTTGGATGAATAAAAATACCTGAAATGTGGAGTTATATAAAATATCCTGTTAATTACTGTGTTTAGTTTTCCTTGTTTTGATGATTGGTTTTGAAGGGGAAAAAAATCCCAATTTGTAGAGATAAATGGTAGCATATAGTTCCTTGATCAGTTTAATCTTAACAAAACTGTGGAGGCCTGAACTTTTAAGAAAGACTAGGACACAGCCATTCAGTACCACATTTTCCAGAAATTCATATATGTGAATAGGAAGAGCCGTAAAAACTTGTTCTTCTGCTCCAGACATTAATTGAATGGTGTTAGTTAAGAGATTGGTAGTCCCACAGTTTCTTTTAAAGGTAGTATATTATATACTACATTTTGGTATAATTATTTTTTATAATAGTCTTATATAGGAATACTTCTTTAGTGATGTTTGAGTTAGAACTTCAGAGAAACACCTGCAATGCTAATTTTAGTAATTGGCTTTAATGTCAAACTTGTATGACAGTTCAGTGGTCCTTCTTAATTTAGTTGTAGGGCAGCTAAAAACAGTAGTGTTGAAGTACATTTGACTAGTCTCGGACTTATTTTTTTAAGATTTTATTTATGTATTTAGAGCGAGTGTGTGTGAGCAGGGGGAGGGACAGAGGGAGAGAGAATCTCAAGCAGACTCTGGACGGAGCGTGGAGGCTGATGAGGGGCTCAATCTCACAACCCCAAGATCATGACCTGAGCTGAAATCAGGAGTCGGACACTTTGCTGACTAAGCCATCTTGGACTTTTATAATGATTATAAACATTAGTCATCATTTTTTATATATGTGAGTAATTGAGCCTTGAAATGCATAGTTATCTCTTTGCCATCAGTAGCAACTGAGATTTTAAAATAAGACATTTTTAATTAATGGCAAAGATCTTAATTTATTACATTCAAGTGCATTTTGAGTTGCCTTGATCTTAGGAATAAAAAACTTGTCATTCGAGTGACAGATAGTAAAATTTAAACACCTTTTTAGGCCCATGTGATTTCACAGTATCAAACACTGAAGTAAACCCAGTGGTTGTGAGCTCTTTCCTTTTCCTCAGTGGCTTAGCAGTGAGTATGTACAGGGGACGACAGATCTTAGTGCAGGGAAATCGCATCGGGAAGTCAGTCCTAAGCGCAGTGCATTTCAGAGGACAGTTAAGATAGCTTGTCCATGGAATGTCTCAGAACCTTGAATTAACAATAGAAGCACTTCTCTGTAGCAATTGGGATCAATAGTTGATTAATTTTTAAAAATCTGTTAAAATAGAATCCAAAATGGAATGTAACTGTAGGCACTTTGTTTTACCTTAGGTATTCATAGGCCAGTTTTTTGTTCCAGGCTGAGGTCTTTTCTTAGGCTACCGCCGTCATAGCTCTTTTTTCTTAGGCTACTGCCGTCATAGCTCTGGCCTACCCTGCATCTGCTCATCTCAGTTTCATTTGGCTTCGTTAAAGACTACCAAGGGCTTAACAAACATTTGTGAAGCAACTTGATACCAGTTTTTCTAGATTTTCCCAGTTTTTTTCAACTTTGCTAGTACTGAGTTTGACAGTAGTTTTCAAGTAAGCACCTTGCCTCCAAGGCATGGAGCCTGGGGCCAATGACCTTTTTCCACAGTCACATTTCATCTCTATACACTGAAACCCACAGGCTCTGGTGGCAGAACAGGATTGGGAATGACATAGTTGGTAGGCATGCGGCTGCAGTAAACTTGAAACCAAGAGGAGTGTAGGCACCCAAACAGGCTGAGAGCATCAGGCCACGTTCCTGGGTACTGAAAGCACTGGTCACCTCACCAGGTAGCTGTTTCACCGGACCCTGTTCCAGTGTGTGCCCTACGCGCATGTGCACGGATAGTGAATCTCCCAAGAGGGGTTCAAGACCCTGTTTCCCAGACCTCGTGACCCCAGAACCCCTTTTTATTTCCACAGAACACCTTGCTGAATGTCCACAGGATGTCTTGAGAAACACTGACCTGCAGCTGCTGCTTCAAAAAACGGTTTTCCATCAGTCTCAAATCAAGTTTCTCTTTGTCCTGCAGGCTCCTGGGGAAACAGACCGGTTTGGCTCCTGATACTCCATACCTGGACCCCTGCTTACCCCTAGACATTAAAGACGAAATCCAGCAAAATGGACAGACCATGTACCTCCGGGGAACAGGAGACTTTGACCTATGTCGAGAGACCATCCAGCCTTTCATGAATAAAACGAATGAGACACAGACTTCCCTCAATGGAGTCTACCAGCCCCCGATTCACTTCCAAAACAGTGAATTCTATGGCTTTTCGGAGTTCTACTATTGCACTGAAGATGTGTTACGGATGGGGGGGGATTACAGTGCTGCTACGTTTACTAAAGCTGCAAAGGTAACCTTCAAAGACATCCTCTTCCTCCACATGCTTTTGAGAGGCTCACGTGGACAGTGGCAGTTTATGTCCCTCCTGCACTTTGAGAGGCCTGGGTCAAGAGAAGGGGAAGGTGGAGTATGGAAGGATGTAGGGCAGCCTGCTGGGGACCCTGTTCCCTTGGTTGAACAAGAGATGCTGTCGCAGTAGGAGTGAGAAGTCCACTGACGTCTGCCCACCACTCCACGAGCCACTCTGAGCATCAGTGGCTTCCAGGTGACAGACTTGTGTACTTCGGGGTCATAACGTAGCCATGATCTGGCCACACTCCCTGCAGCCTTCCTGTCACTTAGCTGCCAGGACCCCTGTTCTCTTGCTGGCTCCTCCCTTTCTGCTGGTTGCTTAGGCTCTTTCAAGGGTTCCCCACCTTTATACCCCTTAACCCTGGGTGATCCCCAGCAGCCACCTTTGGCCCTTGGACCTTCAGGCTCTTTGATGGTCTCATCCATGCTCACGAGTTGCTGCCACTGCCTGTCAAGAAGAGGCTCCAGGCCTGACCCCTGCCTACTAGATTTCATGACCCAAAACAGACCCACCATTTTCTCTCTGTTCCCTCATTCTGTGATGTTGTCTGGGTTAATGGCATCCCTGACCATCCAGTCCACCTCCCAAAACTCGAGTTCTAGGTTTCTCCCTGCCATTCATTCCGGCCTCGCCACACACACCCCATAATCAGTCAACAAGCCTTCATGCATATCATCTCTCAAAGCCTTCCCTACTTTACGTCCTGCTCTCACTGCCCTAGTTATGCCTGCGGCTGTCACCTGCAGGAACCTCCCAGTCGGTCTTCTTGCCTCTGGTCTCCCTCCATCGTTCATGCCTCATGCCACTCCTAGAGAGTTCTGTCCAAGACACAAGTGCTGTCCCCTCTCCTTTTTACAGTCTTCAGCAGCTTCCTTTCATACCAGGATAAATTGCAGATGCTTTTGGATGTCTTCCCCTCTCGGGGGCCTCCCCTCCCCACCCAGCATGCCCTTACTCTCATCACTGCAGACAGCTCTTAGTTTCCCTGGCATCTAAGTTACTTGCCCTCTTGTCTTCGTTCACGGTGTTTGCTCTGCCCTAAATGCCTGTGCTTGCCTCTCACCCCAGACCGAGTGTTGTTCTATGTCCCCTTTCACACGTTTCACCTTCTCTCAGAGCCTCCATTTCTTCGTCCTTGAAATAGAGGTTGGAGTCCTAGCCATAACCAAGGAATGGCTTTAAGTATTGCGTTCAGAAAAGGCACTTAGTGCTCCGTAACTGTTAGCTATCAGTATTATTAGAAATAACTTCAGGAAAAGATAGCACGTCTTTCCCTTCTAAAGGCAGGCCTTTTGGAATCTTATTGTTCCCAGAGCCTTGCACTATGGCGCCACAGAAACAGGTACCCACTCTGACCTAGCTAAAGTACCACTTTACTGTTCCAAAAGTTTATGCCTGTCACAGGCAGTCACACAGGGGGAAATGTAAGCAGTTTTGAAGAGGTTGGTTATGGGCGATGAAATTCTCTGTCACAATAACTTCAGCAGCATTTTAAGACGGAACAATCACTCTCCACTAATCAGTGTCTGCTGGAAGCTTGTGCATCTTGTCTTCCCGTTACGTATAGAAATTAAGCTTGTGTTGCCTGAATGGAAGTATCTGTTGGTTAGGAATATGAATTTGGTAAACCCTTTTGAAAATGAAGAAACTTTTACACTTTACCAATGATTTATTTGGGGTGAAATTTCTTCCAGGATTATTGTGCAACGAAGTGGTCGATCTTGCGGGAACGCTTTGACCGCGGACTCTACGCTTCCCATGCCGACCTCCACAGGCTGAAGTAAGGAGTGGGTGGCTGAGCCACGAGCTTTCCAGAAACCATGCTTCAGTGTTGGCCCCTGGCTTGCCACACGCTGGCCCCAACCTGCTTTTGCGTCCTCATTGATCCCAGTTTCTCCTCATCTGCCCTGGGCTCCTTTCAAACGGGACAGCAGATACTTGTGTCCAAACGTATCTGACAGTTTTTATTCAGTTTTGCTATTCCTTCCACCTAGAATTCCCCTGTTTAACCCCTGCTTTGTTGAAGTCCAGGCCAGACCTCAGAGTCAGGTCAGACGCTGTCCTCGTCGAGTCTCCCTCTGCCCATTCAAGCAGACTCCATCCCTCTCTTGGTGTCCAGAGGACACAGTATGTCTCCCTAGTGGCATTTATCAGGTTCTGCCTTATTTCATAATTATTTGTTGCTTTTTAATATCCTGTCATAAGTCACTTAAGTGATATGGGCTATCATATTATTTGCTATTATATCTTATTATAACTTAGCCCAGCACTTTGCAATAAGTAAGCCTCTGATAAATATTTAGAATCCTACACTATCAGAGCTGAAAAGGACCCTTCTGCCTTCTCATTTTATAATAAAGAAACTGAGGTCCAAAGAAGTTGGAACTTGCTCAGTATTTACCAGAGAGTAAATGAGGGAATGCCTGAGAAGAAAAAATCTGTCATGGCAAGGTGTGAAATCCTACTGAGACCAAGTTCCATGTGCTAAGTGATTCTGGCAGGTGAACTGTTTGGGTTGTGGGACAAGGGGTATAAACCAAGTCCATCAGCTAGAAGTACACACAGTTGGTTTGTCTGCTCGGAGCGCTGGCCTAGTGAGGCCTCTGCACCCACCGTGGTGGCGGGGGAAGGCCGTCCCAGCGAGCGGGTCGCGTTGACAAGTAAGCGAATCCCACTTAGGTTTGTGCTTGGTGTTTCTAGGTATCAGTGCTTCAAGTCAGCCTGGATGTTCGAGGTGTTTCACAGGGGCTTTTCGTTTCCTGTCAACTATAAAAATTTAAAGACAGCCTTACAAGTTTATGACAAGGAGGTTCAGTGGACGCTCGGAGCAATCCTTTACAGGACCCGTTTTTTACCATTAAGGTATGGCTGCAAATCTGGTAACAAGAATCAAACGAAACAGGCTTTTCTGCATTATGATAGCGCATGGCAGCTGGGGCTGGCGGGTGCTTGGGGAGCATGCTGGCTGCGGGCAGGGCTGCAGACCGGAGTTTGACACCCGTGCTTCCTTCCCGCCCCGCCCGTCCCATCGCATGCAGCACGGAAGTGTTTGGTTATGTGAAGCATCTTTCCCCAACCCCTGCACAGAAGGGCTAATGTGGGGCTCTTCATCTTTATGGCTTCAGACTCCTCCTCAAAATATTGCTCCTAAGGTATGTAAATAAATAACAGGGTATAGAGGAAACTGCCGTATTGAAATATATTTATCAAAATATTACAGAAGACATATCTGTGGTACAGTAATATGTGTTCTGGCAGCAGAGCTAGTACTTTCCGTAATTCCCGTACAGTGACGTGTGTCGATATTTTGAGGTGTTTGCAAACACCACAGTGTGGTATAAGAGCTCTCCGAGCATCTGCACAATCCAAGTCGCAAGTACTACAGACACTGCCGTAGTTTGTTGTCTGCATTCATGGCCAGTGGAAATGCCAGTCAGAGACCGGCAAGTGAAGACGGACATTTTCCCGCTCCTGTTCACAGATCTGCTGCACACTGACCCCCGGGGCACTGATAAACGAGACATGTGCTTCTTGGGGGATCCCCCCACTTCCTCCAGTGGAGCATGTGCCGGCAGTCCGTTTCGCTGGGCTGCCTGCAGACATTGTGGGTGGTGGGTATTACTGCTCACAGACGGGGGCCCTCATTCCACAGTGGCTCCTGTGTGTCAGGGAAACTGTCACCGTTTGTTTAAAATTCTGGGTTTTATTTCCCAAATGACAGTGACGGTAACTGCTGCAGACGTACAAATGCGCTCTCATGCGTTCTCTCGTTACTGCTTACAGCCACCCTCTGTTAGGCCACGTTGGCCTACCTTTCGGAGGTGAGGAAACTGAGTCCCAGAGACCCCGCACCTGTTCCACCGCGTGGCTTGGCCTGGTCAGTCCTGGTCTTGCTTACGTGTGGTGTTTGCTTTTGTTTCCACACGGGCAGGGACATCCAGCAGGAGACCTTCCGGGCCAGTCACGCTCACTGGCGGGGCTTCTCCTTCGTCTACAATCACTACCTGTTCTCAGGCTGCTTCCTGGTGGTCGTGCTCTCCATCCTCCTGTACCTGCTGCGGCTGCGGCGCATTCACCGGCGGACGCCCCGCAGCGCCTCGACCGCCGCCCTCTGGCTGGAGGAAGGCCTCCCGTCCCAGAAGATTGCCGGCGCCCTGTGAAGGGGGTTCGAGAGCCCTGGAAGACTTTCTGAAGGAAAAGCCATTTTTGCCTCAGGGTTTCTCCTCTTTATTCTCACTTGGTTTTGTTTCTCCTTTGCCCTTTTGTTCCTTGAAACAGAAACGAAATCCATTGTTTGTAAGCTCCACTGTTTTGTCTACAGCTTTAAATTGAGGAGCAGGGAGAAGGGAAAATCACTTCATTCTTGCTGCACAGGATAGCAGCCTAAGATTGTCTGATTTTCTTTGAGGTGTGTTACATTTGAAACATGCACTTGGATAGTGAAGGGAATGGCAAAGCTGTTCTCCATCAGAGAAGGTAGTGCTGACGGTTGATGCTTTCTCCAAACCAGAACCCAACGGGCTGATTCATAGTCCTCTTTTTGTCTATCTCAAAAGCTCTGACCTACACAGGGTGATACATTGTTTTTATTGTTCAGGTCTGTCCCTGTATAGTTTCTTCATAGACTTAAAAAATCAAAACCGTTTATATCTAAGATAGAAATACAGGAACCAGAAGGTACTATTTTTAAAACCATAGTCCTGGAAGATGTGAAATAATGACTAGAGCAGTGTGTGTGTGTGTGTGTAAAAGAGAAAGAATGTGTGTGAGAGAAACCATGTGAGATAATGTGTGTGAGAGATAAATGATAGAGGATGAGAGAATGCAGTACTTTCTTTTAAAAACACACGCTTTAGAATTTATTATTTCAATTCTTTTTATGTAGAAAAATCCCCCTTACCATTGTCTTTCCTGACACAGATAATGACTTTCTCAGTCCCACCTTTCAGCAGCCCTAGAATAGTATGTCTTTGAGTGAGTTGGAAAATTCATCAAGTTTCACCAGTTTTGAGGTCATTAGAACTGGAGCTAGTGTCTACCCACAGGCAGACACGTCACCGTTTCTTAGTGGTACACTTTTGCTGATTTAATCGCACTCCAGTTTTTTCCAATTCAAGTTGATGTCCCCCTCCTTCATGAAAAATGGTCTCAGCGGTTTTATCTTGGAGACCCCATACTTAGCTTGACCGGTTGTCTTTATTACTGTCATGGTTGAGGCTATGGTGGTAGTTCCACTGTAAATCCAGACTAAGAGAAGTCTCTGGCTTTAATACAAGAAATAAACTCACATTTTGAGAAAACAGGTTCAACATCTTAAACAAAAACCAAAAGAGAACAACTAGATTGGCTTACGTGAAATCAGTTGTTTTTCACCTGTTTAGTTTAGAGGCTTTGGGAATTCTCATACCTAGATTTTTCAGACAAAGTTCTTTTTGTGAGTGTGTATGTATGTACGTATGCTATTTCTTAATCCCAGAACAGTTAAATTGGCCTGGTTGGTAGCAAATGTGTATTTTGAGAACCAAGAGCTTCTTCTCCAGACATCATTTGTTAGAGAAAGGTTTCAGATCCTGAAGCCTTTATTTAACTTAAAAAAAAAAAAAAATTGGACTTTTATCTTATTTATTAACTATTTAAAATGGCATATATCATAAGTATATTGATGACTTGGAAAGATCACAGATACAGAAAAGAGAGCAAATTCTCTTAACTGTGCTCTTCAAAGTGAATATTCTAACAGTGAGAAAGTTATTGTTAGAATCTTTGTCTCGTGAATACCCAGAAGGTTGGAGGAGCTCCGTGGTAGTACAGTCTCTCGTGTCAGAGAGGAGGGAGGTAAATGTCCCTGTGGGAGATCTGGCTTCTGAAACACTGGTCTGCAGCTCTTGAAGTGCTTGGTCCCTGGTAAACGCTGTTGTTCCTTATCAAGACCCAGCCTCAGACAAGCTGTGTTTTAGATATCCCTAGAAGTAGAGTGAGCTGGTGTGCTTCCCCTTGACTCGCCGGACGGGGCTTGTTCTGTAGACTATGGGTGCCATCAGTGGTGAAGAGGAAGTGCGTTCACACTTGAGCTTTTCTACCACCAACCATGGGCGGTAGTAAGTAACCTGGAAATGAAACTCTTCAGACACCTGGAGTATGTGATCTTGCCTTTAAAACAAGGCAAGGATTAGCCAGCCCAGGCCCAGATTTAAATGGACCTTAATTAAGGCTTCCCACCATAAGTTGCCACCTTTTAAATAAAGGGTGCCAATTTGGGCCCAGTCAGTACCATTCAGGGAGCAGAATCAAGACAAATGGGAGTTTTGCTTTGTGCATGCTCTAAGGATCCCTCAGCAAGGACCTACCTCACTGTCTAAAAGAAATCCCCAAATCAGGGTTCTGAGGCCCAAACAGCCTTATGCTTCACATAGTGAAGTGCCCGTGTTCCCCTGCCAAAGAACTCCCTGGAGCCAGGACTTGGCAAACGTATTGGCCACAGGGAAAATCTAGAAGAGCCTTGAGCTGCGAATGGTTTTTCAGTTTTGAAAGGGTGGTTAAAGGAAAAAAGGGGCGGGGGCGGAGAGGGATAGAATAATGCAACAGAGACTGCATGTGACCTGTAGAGCCTAAATATTTACTAAATGTCCCTTTATGGACAGATGTCCCTTTAAAATGTTCACTGACCCCTGCAGGAACGACCCCATTCAAGAAAGGATATGCATTGGCATCCTCTCTTAATTCAGGAAGCTAGTTGCCATTTGTGGACATGGAAAGATGGGCAAGAGAAGAGAACAAACTTCAATCTTAAAATATTTGAGTGTGCACCAGAATTCCACTTCTTCATCTTTCCCTCTAGATTATTTTCAAGATCCGTTTTCTCTTAAGCCAGCAAACAGCCCTTCCCCACAGACTGAAAAAGTGCTGTTCCAGTGGGCCCACTGCATGGTGCTGAGAAGCCTGCGGTCTCGGGAAGATTGCACAGGGGTCTTTCTGATGCCAGGGAGGGCCAGGCTGCGAGGCAGGCCCGGGAGGAGCTTAATTCAGGAGAGTAATTCATATCAGTTAAGGGCTGGCCAAGAAGGCAGGGAACTCAGAATACTTGGAATAGGAAGCAAAAGAAGTTGGACCGGTGGAAACTTGCTTAAGAGCCTTGTGGAAGAAAAATGCTCTGTGTTGAGCTTCGTTGGAAGCACTATGGGAAGTGCTGTTGTCCCCTCCCCATACCGTGCAGTGCTTCTTTCTAAACCTTCCGAGGATGCTAGTAAAGATTTTATAGTCCATTGAAGGGCATCACAGCAAAAGTACAAGCATACCCATTTGTACCAGTGCTTTTTGCATATTTTCACCCTAAACTGCTGGCCATAGGCCTGGGAGTAAGCTGGAGAGGCTGCAGGCTACTAGGCCTGGGCCCCCAGCAGGCTGGGAAGGCCGCTTGTTCACGACCCATTGTCCACACCTGCATGCCCAGGTAGGCAAGCTCTAGACTGACAGGTATTTAAATTTTAAATATCAGGCCTGCATAGTTTTCCTTAGAAGAAGCATGCATCACTTAGCAAGAAACTCGGAAAGGCAAATGTGTTTTCTGAGCTTAAAAAAAAAAAAAAAAAATCAGCTTTAGGATTTTGTGTGGTTACGTGCAATGCAGCAAAACTACCTACATGTAAATTATTTTATTTATTTCCACTTCCGTGTTTCATTTTTTATGATACTGATTTTCCTGTTCAGTAATGAATGATGTGACCAACCCAGGAGAATTCTTTGTTCGGTTACTGAGATGATACTTTACAGTTAGGAATTACAAACACCGAGGGAGAACTTTTAAATGGTTTTTTTTTGTTTGTTTGTTTTTTAATTTAAGCGATGTTTTCTGTTCAAGGTAAGAATAATCATCTTTGGGGTGTTGTGGTGTATCATTTTCCGTGTTCGGCCACCTCACGTTGCCACACTTAACACACAGATGGGTGTTGAGAGCCAATGAGATGAAAGCTCAGCCACTGGCCCATAGGCTCTTGGTTTCTTATGACTGACATGGGTTTTTCTCCGATGTTCGAATCTTGTTACCTGTTAGAAAGCCTAGTTGAACTTGAATCTAAATTCAGTAAAATAAATCGTCTGAGTCTGACTGGACACCTCACATTTGCCGTATTTATGTGCGTGTCCGGAAGCCCTGCTGTGTGGGTTCTGGAGGGGGGATTCTGTGTGTCCTTCAACCCCAAAGCCCAGCAGTTCCCAAGGAGAAGCATTCCCCGCTGTGTCGTATCCACGCAGGCGTCAACAATAAAGGCCATTCTGAGGCAACTCTTGACAGGGTAACCATTTTAAGATACCCGTGAACTATGAACATACCCAAAAAACTGGAATTAACCAATTTCTTATGCATGTTTTCTCACGAATAGTAATTACAATGCTAACTTGATATTACATGATTCTGCAGTTAGATCTAGTCTTAAAGTCATCGGCTCATTTCCAGAGGAATGTGAATCTCACTATCGTTACTAGTAACTATTAGAAACTACAGCTTTTTTCCAGCAACTTGAGAATATATAAAATAGAGATTTCCCCTGGGATGGGGGCGAGGTGGGCCTGAGACATAAGCCAAAAAACGGATGATAGAGACAGATGGAGAAGGAAGGCACCCGCTGTTAGCAACAAAAAGAAGAGCCTGGGAAAGATGTCCCGGAGGGGCTGAGGGACTAACAGAGCAAAACGGGAGTGCGGGGTGAGCACAGAGGCCCGGGACTTGGAGGGCAGGAGCAATGGGATGACAGTGTTGAGAGAGAACGGACTTCAGTGACTTCTGAGGTAATGTGGTGAATGCAGGTCTTTGAGCCTAAGGGTTAATTCACGAAATACTTAAGGCATCTAAACATGTCCAAATTTTACTCCACTTGATTGAAGAGAAGTAAGTACATTTCCGACGGCTACCCATGTTACTGGGGCCGAAAGGCAGTGGCTTGGATTTTTATTCCTTATCTGTTTTGCATTTGTCCCACGAGTCTGGAATGCACTGGTGGCTCTTCTTTTTTTTTTTTTTTTTTTCAAGATCCTGAAATGCTAATGGTTTGCACAGGTTTTGGCGCTCACACTGGTCTGAAAGCAGAGACACAAACATCTCTATCAGAGTCAGCCTGTCTTCTTACGGAAGGGTCACCAGAGGACAAAGGAGTGTCCTTTTCTCCCAGAGGCCTACATGGCAGGTTGGGCTGTTTGCCTGGAGCACCAGTGCCTGCATGAAACCAAATACCTTGAGGTGTTCCCCCGGCCCCACCTTGTCTGGGAGCCCGATGGCTCCCGTAACAAAAGGAGAGTTGACCTGTCAAGGCATTTTCCTTTGTTCTTAACAAGCCGTTCTTTCCTCCTGCCCAGTGCAGGGTTGCCTCTGTCTCTGAATGCA